TGTAAAATTTTTCCTTGGCTTCCAATCGCCTAACAAGACTCCCAGCCATTCATACCATCTAAAAAGTCTCATGAGGCTAAGAAGACTCCTTGATAGTCAGCTAAGCTGAAAATCTTCCCTAAAGACCTACCCTGAAATTCAGATCGCACATAAGGACTCTCTAAACTTTAAGTCAGTCGAGAATAAGGTTTATATAGCCGATCTGAAGGGCAGGACTCCCTAAACTTCTGTTAAGACGTCTTCAGCTTTCGATCGCTCAGCTAAAAATATTTCCTGTCAACCAGCTCATCTTTGAAGCCTCCTAAAGCTAGGTTATCTTAGTTTCTTAAGTATCATCTAGCCTAAGGACCCTCTGAACTTCCTGCCATCTATTTCGGCTTCAAACTCTTCACATTTTCCTTCTCTTCAGGACGCCGATAAAAGAATATTTATCTATAAAAGAAATGGAGACAATCAACAGGCTCCATTGTGAACATCAGGTAGCCTGAAAATATTCACTAAAAACCATCGCTTAACATTAGCTGGCATATAAGGACTATCTGAACTTAAAGTCTTTAAAGACGTCCTCAGTTTGTAATCGCTCATCGAAAAATATTCCCTCTCGTTCAGCTCATCTTTAAAGCCTACATTAGCCAGGCTACCTAAACTTCCTGAGCATAAACTAAGGATTGAGGACTCTCGGAACTTTCTGTCATTTAAAAGCTTTCTCAGCTTCAGATAGCCTATAAAGACTCCCACTCCTTCAGCACATGTAAAAAGTTTATTCAAATTAAGAAAGATTCCCTGATCATCACCTAGCCTTAAACTATTGCCCACAAACTCGTCCTGAACTTTAGCTCGCATGTAATGACTCTCTGAATATCAAATTATCTAATTAGACTTCCAACCCATCAACTTTTTCTTCTTCCAACTCAATGAGACCTTTGAATGATATCCACTCTTCAGAAAGACTGTAAATAATCCACATCCACAGGCTTCATTTTCCTTCTGCGTATGAAAATCTGTCCTCTGTCCCATTGTGATCTTCTGTCTATAGAAAAATGAAGAGCTGTAGGTTTTTATAGACGAACTAAAAAAGGGCAATAAGTCTTTATAGATTATCTGAAAGGTAGGAAGCCTTTATAGAGCTGAATGCCAAAAGGCTATATAGATTGTCTGAGGTTCTGTGAAGACTTCCCCTTAGTCTTCCTCCATGTATTTCTATTGACTTTCTATAGGCAAATCGCTAGAAACTGATTTACGTACCGAAAGTCTATCAAACATCTTCTTTTCAATTTTTTATTTTCAAATCTCTCTCAGTCACGAAGGGTACAGAGTCTTTATAGCTGAGCTGAGGGGCTTTCCTAATTGAAGTTTTTTGAATCCTCAAAGTATTTCAAACGTCAACTTTATCGTTCTTGAAGGTGTTGACTGCTTCAACTCAGTTGATATTTTTTCCGACCCCTATACATATATATTGCTAATTTGGATAATTTGGAAAAATCAATAAGTATCTATTTAGTATTTCCTTAAGCCATACCACTCGATAATATTAATTTTAATTGTCTCATATATTTAATATTATCTATTGTAATGACTTGGCAAAATTTACCCGTCCACCTTGTATGGAAGTTAATATTCATTCATCCGTATTTATTTCTGTTGCTGCCATAATATTTCATGCCTACCACCGCTGGCTGGTAGGCTTATATTTGGCACTCGCACATGCGTTTGTGTGCGCAATGGTTTGACCCACAAAATCATAAAAAAGTAGTTTAAGGTTTATGCCCTCTGCGTCGGAACTTATTCTTGCGCCCCTTGAGAGTGTGTTTAGTATATCGTATGTATGTGTATGTCACTGATATCTCAGATAACTCACTAGTCGTATTATTATTTTTATTATTATTTCACAAACATATGGTGGAAAAAATAAAATCTTTAAACACACATAGATCATGTGTCAAGATACACACACTGTGGAAGAAATGAAAGAAACAACAAAAACAAGTAGCGCAAAAACGGTTCCATTAGTTCATTAACTTTGGAGGCAACCAAAAAAACAACAAAAAATCTAGACACAAAAACAACAGCAACAAAAACCATACTAAAAATTTAATTTCAAGTTAAATTGCCATAAAACAATAACCTCAATTTAAATACTTAGATGGTTTCAAAACCAAAATGCTGTGCTTGTAGAGTAGAGGTGCCTGCCAGCCCCCAGCAGCCCCCTCCAAAGAATTATTATCGCTCAAACATAGGCATCATAGTTAATCACTCATTTGTATGCTCTTGTATGTCTGAGAGAGAACTGAGAATCAGTATTTCAACGGCCACAAAAGTTCAAGTGCATCCAAATCATTTTGAGTATATGGACCTGAGGCTGTGTTAAAAAAGATACAACAGCAGCAACAACAATTTCATTATGCAACACCATTGCTCATATCAAACATGGTTTATGGCAATTTTATATGGGTTATGAACTTGTCGACGATTCCAAGGCAGTTTAATTGGGCCATTATTACTGTTGTTTTTTTCCTCTAAGAATCATTCACAATTGTTATTGATATTTAATTGGACAAGGGAGGTCTGAGCCTGACCTGTCTCGATAAGTGATGAAATTGAAATTGATTTGTGGCAAAAAATAACATGTGCGACGTAATATTTACGGGTTTGATTAACGGTTTATATAACCAATTCAATTATTGGCAATTTCAAAATATAATTTTGTTCGTTACACTGTTTCCAATAATAATTGTAGTATTCACAAATAATATAAATAAATTGAATTGCCTAAAGGGTTCTTAAAAAAAAATAAGATTTGAAAGATGGACGATTTTAAAGGACTTTTGTAGATAATCCCCAGCTGATTTTTTATATACATCTTTCAATAGTACTGTTTTAATTATAAGACCTTCCAAAGGTTGAAGATTATTTACAAGGCTTGGCTGAATTCCACAGCTCGACTTGAAGATTTTTAAATGGGCCTTTCGTACGCAAATTGATCTTCTACAGGCAGAATGCCTTCTACCTGGGTCCTCTAGATAGAAGACAATCCAAAGATCTGTAGACAGGGCACTTTCCTCTGGTTTTCTAGGAAAATGAAGAGCATTTATATGTCAGACAAATATTTTTGCATAGGCATTCGAAGCAGTGGATATCAATTATATGTCTCCTGTGGATGTTCGATCTGAAAGTAGAGAAATCTTTGTAACCTAGGCGGCTTTTTATTGAGCTGAAGGACACAAAGTTATCAGAGGCGAACAAAAACTGAGGAAGTCTTTAGAGAAAATAATGTAGTCTATATAGATGAGTACATATCACCTGCGCATAGTCTAACTGCTCAAGGATGCAAGGATGTTGGATGAAGGATTCTTTTTAGATGAGCTGAAGGTCTGGGGGTCTTTATAGTCGATCAAAAGGTGATAAAGTCTTTATAGAAGGTTGGGAGTCAAGGACAAAAGGGAGATATTCTATGGGCCGGAGGCAATCTACAGATCTAAATACAGAACATATCTGACAAAGACATATAATCTTTAAATGCGATCGGAAGTTCAGGAAGTCTTAACAGCATAGGCAACTTAAAGTTCAGAGAGTCCTGCACCTCCCTCGTTGGAAGGTTCCCCGAAAAATAGTTGACTTGAAGTTCAGAGAGTCCTTATATGAGAACTGAGATTTTTATGGCCTTTACATGACATAGATTCTTTGAAGGCGACCGGAAGCTGAGGAAGTCTTTACAGAAGGTCAGGGAGTCTATATGAATGAGTTGAATAGCAGAAAGTCTATGTACAAAAACTGAAGGGTCGTGAAGACTATATAGGCGTACTTAATACCAGGATGTATTTTTAGACGAGCTGGAAGGCGGCACTTCTGTATAAAGGTGTAAGAAGCAGGGTAATCTTTTTAGGAGTTAAACTTCAGGGAACCTTTGTAGAGGCGATAGAACTTAGCTCAGGTCTTCTATAGGCTAAAGGGAATCTGTTTAGAGGATTTTAAGTCTATGCAAAGAAACTGAAGGGCCGGGAAGTCTGTATAGGCGAGCTAAATACCAGACAATATATGTAGACGAGCTGGATGGCGGGGTTTCTATATAAATGTGCTGGAAGACATGTAGTATTTTTAAAAGGGCTGAATCTAAGGTATCTGTTTAGAGGATTTAAAGTTCATGGTGTCTTTGTAGAGGCGATAGAACATATCGCAGGTCTTTTATAGACTGAAGTATTCCATTGGACTTATGGCAAAAGGCAATTCGAGAAAGTATTTACAGAAGCTCAAAGAGTCTACCCAATGGATCTGAAGGACCGGGAACTTTATATACGCAAGCTAAATATCAGGGAATATATTTAGATGGAAGGCGGTATTCTATATAAAGGTGCTGGAAGCCTGGAAGTCTTTTCAGCAGGACCAAAGCTTGGAGAATATGTTAGAGGCGATAAAACTGAGCTCTCTATTCTATAGACTGAAGTATCCTTTTGGGTCGATGGCAGCAGGCAATTCACAGATATAATGGAAGGTTAACTCCTCTGGTTTTCTACGAAAATGAAGACCATTTTTTGATTAGCCAAAGTACGGGAGTCTTTAAAGGTCATCGGAAACTGAAAAATTGCTATGCCATGGATCTGAATGACATAAAGTCTATATAGACGAGCTAAATACCAGGGAATATTTTTATGCAATGGATCTGAAGGGCAAGGAGTTTATATAGGCGAGCTGGACTTTCTACTCTTCTTTGTAGTCAGAACATTTCCCCTGATTCCGTATTTTAATAAGTTTTGTCAGCTTCGATATTTTTTAATTCAAGGATTTAAATCTTAACATTTCTGTACTTTCATATAAAAAAGTTTCCAATGTACTGACAATTGTAACGTTGATTTGGAAACAGTGTTAACTAAATATTCCATTCGATTATTAATTCCAATGATTATCTATTACAAACTTTGTTAGCTGAGTTCTTGAGTTATTTACAACAACAACTTTTAATAACCATCTAAATAACTCTCTCTCTCTCTTTCTTTTCTCTCTAGACGCTCAACCGAGCAACACAGATCGTTTAAGTGGCGGCTATATAAACAATGCCTACCATTACGACGAACTAGATCACAACTATCTGTACGGGCAATTTGATGATAATACAGATTACATGACCATGGCCCAATCGCATCCCTATGAAGGCAGCCTGGGAGACGAGGAAATAGGTGGTGCTGGTGGTGATGATGAACTTTGTGAAAATCGCGATATACGCTGCATACCGGAATTTCAATTTTCCATGGTTGAATCGGAATTCGATGAAGCCTTAAATATACCCGATTCGGTGACCATAATATCGGCAGGTGGTGATAAACCCGTACTGGTGGAACGGAAAGATTGTACCGATGATGATGACTATGACGAGGATGGGGTGGAATTGCGTAGACTTACTGAAATTCCATTTACGCGGATCTATTCGCCGGGCATTAAGTTTACCTCATTCCAACGAAAGGTGTTTATGCCGGGCACTGAAATAACGGTGCAAATTATTGATATTGAACGAAGTGTAACGACGCATCTATTGAATCCTAATTTGTAAGTTTCTAAGGGTTATATTTCGTAGATCGGAATAATATAAAATGTCTGCTTTTTCAGATACACCATAGAACTGACACATGGCCCATTTTCCTGGACCATTAAGAAACGTTACAAACATTTCAGTACTTTACATCAACAGTTGAGCCTGTTCCGCACCTCCCTCAACATACCCTTTCCCATGCGTAGCCATAAGGAGAAACGAGCCACAATGAAAACAGCTGCCATCCAAATGGCCGATGAATGTCGGCTAAAAGAACTGCAAAAATCTTCGAGTTTTAAGCACAACACAAATCGAGCTCGAGCGGAATATGAAGCCACAATTACCAGCCAACCACAATCCCTGCCCATGACCCCCATCTACAATAAGAATATTTCCATTGTGGATGATGTTGGAAGGGGCAGCACTCGTAAGAAAAGGAAAAAACGAAAACTGCCAAGATTTCCTCAGCGTCCGGAGTCATTGGTGACAGTGGAATCAATGCCGGCGAGAGTGCGGCAACTGGAGGAGTATTTGTATAATCTGCTGAATATTAGTCTGTATCGGAATCATCATGAAACGGTAAGTGGGAGGAGAATAACTTCTTCACAAAATAGATCCGATTAAATTTCTTGTCTTTGTTTTTGCAGTTAAATTTCGTGGAGGTCTCCAACGTGTCCTTTGTCGATGGCCTGGGCATCAAGGGCAAGGAAGGTCCCATTTTAAAGCGGACTGGCTCCACCCGTCCCGGTCAGGCTGGCTGTAATTTCTTCGGTTGCTTCCAGCAGAAGTGTTGTGTACGCTGCAATTACTTCTGTTCCGATGTTGTCTGTGGCAAGTGGCGTAATCGTTGGTTCTTCGTCAAGGAAACCTGTTTCGGCTATGTACGACCCTCAGATGGCGTTATTCGAGCTGTGATATTATTTGATATGGGTTTTGATGTCTCGACGGGCATCTATCAGACCGGCATGCGTAAGGGTCTTCAGATATTGACCAACAATCGTCACATTATCTTGAAATGTTGGACCCGAAGGAAATGTAAAGAATGGAATGATTATCTGAAACAGACAGCCAATACAACGGCCCGAGACTTTACAGCACCCAACCCGCATAATTCATATGCTCCTGAAAGGGCAGATGTAGAGGCTCAATGGTTTGTTGATGGGTCGTCTTATATGTCAATGGTGGCCGATGCTTTGGAGGCTGCCACCCAGGAAATTTACATTGCCGATTGGTGGCTAAGTCCGGAAATATATATGAAACGGCCGGTAATTGATGGCGATTATTGGCGTTTGGATAAAATCCTATTGCGCAAGGCCCAGGAGGGTGTCAAGGTGTTTGTAATGCTCTACAAGGAAGTCGAAATGGCCTTGGGTATTAATAGTTATTACAGCAAACAGAGACTGGTTAGTTTACATGAAAATGTTAAGGTTAGTAGAGACTTACATACCTCATAGATGAACCTATAATTCTGATAATTTTTATTTACAGGTTATGCGCCACCCGGATCATGCCAAAGCTGGCGTTTTCTTTTGGGCCCATCACGAAAAAATCGTGGTGGTCGATCAAACCTACGCCTTTTTGGGAGGCATTGATCTCTGCTACGGCCGCTGGGATGATTACCGTCATCGTCTCACAGATTTGGGCAGCATTTCAACATCCTCAGCTTCGGGCAGCACACGACGCCAGGGCGGCTTTTTCAATAGAGAAGAAGTGGATTCAGCTTTTGGTAGTCAAAAATCTTCACGCAATATCAACAGCGATCTGCAAACAGCCGAGCAGGATGAACCTAGTCCAAAAGCCAGCATGGAAAGACTTGATTTACCCACCCTTATGCCTGGAGAAAAACTGATGATACCCAATATGAGTTTGGTCCCGCCAACACTAGATGAAACCCTACCCCATGAGGGTATGAAACTGAATACCCCCGAAATGGAACGTAAAAATATGCTGCAAAACCTCAAGGATAATGCCATGAAAAAAGGCAAGGACTTTGTCAATCGGCTTACGATGAATGAGGGTGATAAGACACCGGATATTATAAAGGACCCCAAACAATTGGTATTTAGTATACAAGAATTGGAAGAGGGCCGCCGTGGAGGTCTCGAAGATCCCACACCATTTCAAACGGAAGTTTTGCAGGATTTTTATGGGCAGGCGAAATATTGGTTTGGCAAGGACTACTCTAATTTTATTCTCAAAGATTGGATGAACTTGGATGCGCCATTTGCTGATATGATCGATCGTACCTCTACGCCACGTATGCCTTGGCATGATGTGGGTTTGTGTGTGGTGGGAGCTCCGGCTCGCGATGTAGCACGTCATTTTATACAACGTTGGAATGCTATGAAATTGGAAAAGACTCGAGATTCCTTATCGTTCCCTTACCTTATGCCAAAGAGTTACAAACAAATTAAATTGAATCCAAATATTACCCTAAGGCGTTCACATCGGGTATCGTGTCAGCTGCTGAGAAGTGTCTCATCGTGGAGTTGTGGTTTTATCGAACAGGATTTGGTAGAGCAGAGCATCCATGACGCGTATATCCAGACCATAACAAAGGCACAACATTATATCTATATAGAGAATCAATTCTTTATAACAATGCAATTGGGCGCAACGGGGACACTGAGTAATGTACGAAATCAAATTGGCGAGGCATTATTCAAGAGAATCGTGCGAGCACACAAGTAAGTTGAGAAAATTTGTTCGCTCGAATTTCAGGAAATGTTGAAATTCTGCTTCCCTTTCAGAGAACGCAAAGTATTTCGGGTTTATGTGGTTATGCCTTTGCTGCCGGGCTTTGAAGGTGATGTTGGTGGCAGCAGTGGCAATGCTGTGCGCGCCATTACCCATTGGAATTATGCCTCAATATCAAGGTAAGATGTCCCCAAAACGACGACGATTTTCAAGAGATAATCCTTTCACATTTTCCACAGAGGAAAATCAGCAATTCTGGTGCGTCTCAAAGAGATTGGCATTAAAAATCCCGGAGAGTATATATCATTCCATTCGTTGCGTACCCTATCCGAATTGAATAATACGCCCATTACCGAACTGATCTATGTACATTCCAAACTACTAATAGCCGATGATCGGGTGGTCATTTGCGGTTCGGCCAACATCAATGATCGTTCGATGATTGGTAAACGTGACTCAGAGATTGCGGCCATTATTACGGACAATGAATTTGAGGATGGTAGGATGAATGGTAAAAAATATCCAAGTGGGGTGTTTGCTGGCCGGCTGAGAAAGTATTTGTTTAAGGAGCATTTGGGTAGGTTGAAATATATTACAAAAAATTGTTCAAAATTAAAGGTTACTCTTTTTTTACAGGTCTCTTGGATCCCGATGCTGATCGTATGCGCATCGATGTCACCGATCCGGTGATAGATCAATTTTGGAACGGCATGTGGCGAAGAATATCGAAACGCAATACCGACATTTATGATGAGGTGTTCAAATGTATTCCCAATGATAATATCAAAACATTTGCCAGTCTACGAAAATATCAGGAAGAAAGTCCGCCCTTGTGTAAGACAGATCCAGATGTGGCCGCCAAGAGACTTTTAAATATTCAGGTGAGCTGAGCTAACAAAAATATTAAATATACAATTTTAAATGTATTCTTGGATTAATTACAGGGAACCTTGGTGGACTTACCTTTGGATTTCCTAAACAAAGAGGTACTGACACCACCGGGTACCAGTAAAGAAGGCCTTATACCCACATCGGTCTGGACATAGTTTTTAGTTTTTTTTTTGTTTTTTTAGAAGTCTGTTATAATTTTGTATTTGTATATATAAAAATATTGTTGTTTGTTTAATTTTTTTAAGTAAAAATTATAGTTTAAGAAAAATATCTGAACCTAGGAGATCCTCCTCCATCATTGTGTTCCATATTCATATACGACTATACAGTAACAATGCACAAATCAAAATATATATTAATTTTTATTTTTTATGAAATAAGTCAGTATTTTGTTAATAGAGTAGCGTCCAAACTATACATTCCAAAACTAAATAAATTTAATTTATTTTTTATTATTATTATTTTTTTAATTTTACAAATATTATTTTATAAAATAAAATATAAAAAATTGTATGTAAATAAAAATACGGAGCATACATTAAATGTATGTTTAAGAAAAATAAGAAATGAAAATTAAATTATTATTATTCAATTGGGCGCCACTGGGACCGTAAATTAAATTGTTATTGTTCTATGATCCCTATAATCATGCAACTGGACGCCAATGGGATACTGACTAATGCACTTCAATACCATTCCAATAAGGTTAATGAATGTATTAGTATTCAATTGGGCGCCACTGGGTTTGTAATTAAAATTATTATTGTTCTATGGTCCTTATAATCAGGCAACGGGGCGCCACTGAGATTTTAATTAATTAAAGTACTTCAAGACCTTTCCATAAGGTCCCGCTGTTAGAAGCTCATTAAGGTGTTTGTAATGCTTCACATTGAAATCGAAATGGCTTTTAATCCTAAAACATTTTTTATGGCTTATGCCCAACCTGGATCTGTAGGTTTCTTTTAGGCCCATCACGTTTCAGGAAAATTGGATATGTCATCTCTTTTGCGATTGATGACATATGTAATTTTCCCGAAAATCCAAGATTGTATTAGATTTCTTTACTGTAAAGAGAACATTAAGAACTTCCTGGTAGACGGTGGTCGAACTGTTTAAGAGTGGTAAGTAATTAAAAGTTGCCTTAAATAAGAAGTTCCCAATAAAGTACATATATCGAATCTGAAAAAATATATTGGATATATCCGATTTCATTACAAAAAACTGGACTTCAAGACCTTCCCCAAGATACCCCGCTTGTAGGTGTCTGCAAAACCGTTCAGAAATGGTGTTTAATTAAAAATGCCTTTGAACAGTTTGGTCTCTGAATTTTCCTTTCTCAGATCTGGTAAAATTCTATAATTATTACCATTTACGACTTTAAATTTAATTGCCTTTTTAATTGTGGTTTAATTCATTTAAATTCCACCTTTCCGTTAATTATTTTGATGATTGGCAACTCGTTGCATTCAATGGAGCTCTCACAATATTAAAATACAAACAAAGATTAAGAGAGCGAGAGAGTGTTACACACAACGTCGTTGGGGCAACTCACATTGGGGGGCATTTCATTTACTCTTCTCCACACAAACAAAAACACCATACCAAGAGAAAGAGAACAACAAAATCAAAAACAAAACAATCAAATGCCGACATGCATAGTGTTTTTGTTTCGGGCTTTCGGCTGGGGTCGTCACGAACGTCGCGGTCGTTGTCGTAGTAATGCAAAAGCAAAACATTGCAATTTTCGCTCTACCCCAACATGAAATGCGGCGTTCTGGCGACTGGCGGTAATCTTCTGAGTTCAGTTTATTGTCGTACGTTGTTCCGTTTGGAGCTAAAATTGCGTTGCGTCTCTCTAGTTGGATCATTGGCGTGTCTCTATTTTATGTCTGTTATTAAGTTGTGTTCTATCAAAGAATAAAAAAAACAAGTCTATCAAAGTGCAAAAAGAAAAGGAAGTTGATCATCAATCATTCAATCGAAAAGAAATCGGAAATAAATATTTGTTCAATTTGTGACACAATTCATTCGTTTGTTTGTGTATCGCGATTTTTGTTTGTTTTTGTGCAACAAAATGTTTAAAATTCTAAGCAAAGTTGAAATTGGTGAACAATAAAAAAATGGAAAGAAAAATCCAAAATTTATGTACTATCAGAGAGCAATGCAATTGAGCAGCAGCAGCAGCCGCAGTAGTAGTGGAGTGACCAAAGTAGAATTACAACAAGAATAACCAGCATAAAAGCAACGCCAAAATACAACAACCACAAGAAAAAAGAATGTAAAGTGTGTGTTTGTGCCGATTGGGAAAACAAGAAACAAAACGAAAAAATTGAAAAAAACACCAAACAAGTGAAAAGCGAAAAGAAAAGCAATGAATGAAAAGTGGTGGTGATTGACCACAGAGAAAAAAGTAAAAAGAGTTTGAAAGTGAATTGAGAGAAATGCAAAGAAGAACTTTCGTCGTCCCCATCAAAACGTTTGAATGGCCGGCTGGCCCACGATTTGGAGTTCGAAAATTAAATGGATTACATTGTTGCAGAATAAATCACTGAAGTGGAAAAAAGGATATTAATTTGTTTACCAAAAAAAAAGGTAAGTGCTTCGTTTTGTCTCCGTTCATTTTTTCGCCTTTCTGTGGCAATAAACTTTGGGCTGCATAGCAATTTCATGTCTGGCCAATTTTTTTAGAGACAAAACAAGGAAGAAAACAACAGCGACAACAACATAACTCGCAGGCAGACATTGTTATGGTTGGGTAGGAGAATGGCAGGGAGTTGTAGAACAACAAATACTAAAAAAGAAGTAGAGAGGGAGGGGATGGGTGGTGAGAGAACAGAGTTTACACACCAACACTCACCTAGTGCATAGTAGAATTAGCAAAAAAAAATACAACAACAGCGACAGCAGCGAAAGTCAGTCAGAAAACTTGCAGCGTCAGAAATATTGTTGTTATTATTGTTGTTTGTTGGTGTTTTTGTTTTTTATTTTTTAGGCGGGCAACAAGAAGGGGGCTTGTCTTGCATTGTTTTGTTGTTGTTTGAATTGTGCATACACACATATTTGCGTGCCAGTATTCGCTGCATGGTTTAGTTTCTTTTGTTCTTCTTTTTCTTCTTGTGTTTTGTTTGTTTTTTTCATGCCTCTCCTCTTATTGTTGTTGTACATTGGAATAGGAAGAAACATGTTCAAAATAAAAACGGAAATAAAGAGTATTCCCATACACACAGGATACTTGCCAGGCAAGGTATGCTCAGAAATAAAAGCATAACTGAGTAAGAGAACCTGCGCTTTGAGCATGTGTGAGAGAGCATTCAGGTTACTAACACCATCTTCATCAAGCACACGAATTAGAAGTGACTTTGAATTTTTCCAACTCTTAATTTGCAAAGTTTATTTCTTTCGTTTTTGTTGTACTGCAACTTTGTAGACTTTTAACAGACAGACAGACTTCATAAAAATTCCTTTAGAATTCAATAACAAGGATACATACTCGTACATATATAGCAATTATCCTTAGGTATTTTTTTGTCGGAAAGGAAGACATGAAGTTTTTTTTTCTATTTCAATTAGAAAACAGTCTTTGGGGAATTAAGTGTAATTAGAAGTTTAATTATTTCAAGTTCATCGAAAAAGGATTGGGGAAATTGAAAGGAGGAAAATTCAATTTATTATTTGGAAACTTTAAACTATAATTTTTATTATAATGAAATTAAATAGGAAACACATTTTACAAATTTAGTCAATTTAGATTGACTAAGTCCCAAAGTGGGACAGGCAGTAAATGGCGGGAAGACCAAACTGATGGTATTAACGCACAAGACGTTTAGTAGACTCGGACCAACTTAAAAACTACAGCTTCGAGGTACTAAATGATTTTATATACCTCCGTACCGCCATAAACAAAACAATTAACATCTGCTTTATAATACGGAGAAGAATATGTTCGTCGATTGAACTATTGATAAGTAAATCAAAGTGCAAAAAGAAAAGGAAGTTGATCATCAATCATTCAATTGAAAATAAATCGGAAATAAATATTTGTTCAATTTGTGACACAATTCATTCGTTTGTTTGTGTATCGTGATTTTTGGTTGTTTTGGTGCAACAAAATGTTTAAAATTCTAAGCAAAGTTGAAATTGGTGAACAATAAAAAAATGGAAAGAAAATTCCAAAATTTATGTACTATCAGAGAGCAATGCAATTGAAAGCAGACTAATCGATTAAAAATTTGAAAAGTCTAAAATTCGATGTCGACTTCTGATCTTTGAGGAAATCAAAAAGTCGACTTTTGATTTTATTCATTTATACTTGGAACAACGGCTTATGGAACAAATATTAAGATATATATTATTTATTTCAACCAGAAGATGGGATGGAAGTTTAAGTAAAATGTTTAGTATATTCCGATTTCAATAACAAACCATTAATGGTGTCATAAATATTGTTCTACACATGGATTTTAATTTTGATGATAAAATCGGAAATGAAAATCCCCATAAGCATTTTGATCGGAAAACATGATCAATAAGAAAAACATTAAGTTTGACTAAACCGATCTGTTTTTAATCTGCGGCATAACTTTTTGAAGCTATGCCAAATTATACGATGAGGTTTTTAAGCATCGGAATGTGAACTTCAGTAATGTAGATTCAAATAGTTTGTAGGGAATTCGGTAGATTAGCATATAACGACGTGAAATATAATATTTCCAGGAAAATGAAGCTGATTCCAATATTGCATATGACAATAGTATTTTCTGGATCTGATTCATAGCTTGCTCAGAGAGAATACTGAATTGCTTTCATTCATGGCCCTAATCTCATTTTTATAAAATATAAATGCCTTTTTATAACGTCCTACTTTGTACTTTGAGCTCCTTCTGAATTGCTATTGAAATTCATTTCTTGGGGCACCATCGTTATTTAATCCAATTCACCAATAACTCCAAAATCTCATACCATCCTCGTCACCATTCTAAAAAAAAACAAAACTTTGTGTGCAAATACAATGTTTAAAAAATACACTAAAGATGTGGAAAAACAAGAATTTTTTTATTGCACCGGTTGAACGGAATACATAAATCCCCTATTGAAAACAGCAACAACAAATCGCATACTCAAATACAAAATAACCTAAAGAGGATGAGAGGAGCTTACCAACATCTTAAGCAAAAGAGAATA